ATGTTATGTTTTTATTTTGACAGGACATTAGGACAGGTGTCATATGTTATGTTTGATTTTGACAGGACGTTAGGAGAGGCGCCATATGTTATGGTTGATTTTGACAGGACGTGAGGACAGGTGCCACATATAATGTTTGATTTTGACAGGACGTGAGGTCGGGTGCCACATGTAATATTTGATTTTGATAGGACGTTTGGACAGGTGCCATATGTTATGTTTGATTTTGACAGGACGTTAGCAGCGGCGCCATATGTTATGGTTGATTTTGACAGGACGTGAGGACAGGTGCCCCATATAATGTTTGATTTTGACAGGACGTGAGGTCGGGTGCCAGATGTAATGTTTGATTTTGATAGGACGTTAGGACAGGTGCCAGTTGTAATGTTTGATTTTGACACGACATGAGTACAGGTGCCACATGTAATGTTTGATTATGACAGGACGTTGGGACAGGTTCCACATGCAGTGTTTTATTTTGACAGGACGTTTGGACAGGTGCCTTATGTTATGTTTGATTTTGACAGGACGTGAGATCGGGTGCCAGATGTAATATTTGATTTTGACATGACGTGAGGTCGGGTGCCACATGTAATGTTTGATTTTGATAGGACGTTAGGACAGGTGCCAGTTGTAATGTTTGATTTTGACACGACATGAGTACAGGTGCCACATGTAATGTTTGATTATGACAGGACGTTAGGACAGGTGCCACATGTAATGTTTGATTATGACAGGACGTTAGGACAGGTGCCACATGTAATGTTTTATTTTGACAGGACGTTAAGACAGGTGCCATATGTTATGTTTGATTTTGACAGGACGTTTGGACAGGTGCCATATGTTATGTTTGATTTTGACAGGACGTGAGGTCAGGTGCCACATGTAATGTTTGATTTTGACAGGACGTTAGGACAGGTGCCACATGTAATGTTTGATTATGACAGGACGTTGGGACAGGTTCCACATGCAATGTTTTATTTTGACAGGACGTTTGGACAGGTGCCTTATGTTATGTTTGATTTTGACAGGACGTGAGATCGGGTGCCAGATGTAATATTTGATTTTGACATGACGTGAGGTCGGGTGCCACATGTAATGTTTGATTTTGATAGGACAATAGGACAGGTGCAAGTTGTAATGTTTGATTTTGACACGACATGAGTACAGGTGCCACATGTAATGTTTGATTATGACAGGACGTTAGGACAGGTGCCACATGTAATATTTGACTTTGACAGGACGTTAGAACAGGTACCATATGTTATGTTTGATTTTGACAGGACGTTAGGACAGGCGTCATATGTTATGGTTGATTTTGACAGGGCGTTAGGACAGTAATGTTTGATTTTGACAGGACGTTAGGACAGGTTCCACATGCAATGTTTTATTTTGACAGGACGTTTGGACAGGTGCCTTATGTTATGTTTGATTTTGACAGGACGTGAGATTGGGTGCCAGATGTAATGTTTGATTTTGACGGGACGTTAGGACAGGTGCTACATGTAATGTTTGATTTTGACAGGACGTTAGGACAGGTGCCACATGTAATATTTGACTTTGACAGGACGTTAGAACAGGTACCATATGTTATGTTTAAGTGCCATATGTTATGTTTGATTTTGACAGGACGTTAGTACAGGCGCCATATGTTATGGTTGATTTTGACAGGACGTGAGGACAGGTGCCACATGTAATATTTGATTTTGACAGGACGTGAGGTCGGGTGCCACATGTAATGTTTGATTTTGATAGGACGTTAGGACAGGTGCCAGTTGTTATGTTTGATTTTGACACGACATGAGTACAGGTGACACATGTAATGTTTGATTATGACAGGATGTTATGTTTTTATTTTGACAGGACATTAGGACAGGTGCCCTATGTTATGTTTCATTTTGACAGGACGTTAGGACAGGCGCCATATGTTATGGTTGATTTTGATAGGGCGTTAGGACAGGTGCCATATGTTATGTTTTATTGACAGGACGTGATATCGCGTGTCACATGTTATGGGTTTTTTTTTGACAGGGCATTAGGACAGGTGCCATATGTTATGTTTGATTTTGACATGACATTAGGACAGGCGCCATATGTTATGGTTGATTTCGACAGGGCGTTAGGACAGGTGCCATATGTTATGTTTTATTGACAGGACGTGATATCGCGTGTCACATGTTATGGGTTTTTTTTTGACAGGACATTAGGACAGGTGCCATATGTTATGTTTGATTTTGACATGACATTAGGACAGGCGCCATATGTTATGGTTGATTTCGACAGGGCGTTAGGACAGGTGCCATATGTTATGTTTGATTTTGACATGACATTAGGACAGGCGCCATATGTTATGGTTGATTTTGACAGGACGTGAGGACAGGTGCCACATGTAATATTTGATTTTGACAGGACGTGAGGTCGGGTGCCACATGTAATGTTTGATTTTGACAGGGCGTTAGGACAGGTGCCATATGTTATGTTTGATTTTGACAGGACATTAGGACAGGTGCCATATGTTATGTTTGATTTTGACAGGACATTAGGACAGGCGCCATATGTTATGGTTGATTTTGACAGGGCGTTAGGACAGGTGCCATATGTTATGTTTGATTGACAGGACGTGAGATCGCGTGTCACATGTTATGGGTTTTTTTTTGACAGGACATTAGGACAGGTGCCATATGTTATGTTTGATTTTCACAGGACGTTAGGACAGGGGCCATATGTTATGTTTGATTTTGACAGGACGTTAGGACAGGTGCTACATGTTATGTTTGATTTTGACAGGACGTTAGGACAGGCGCCATATGTTATGTTTGATTTTGACAGGACGTTTGGACAGGTGCCATATGTAATGTTTGATTTTGACAGGACGTTAGGACAAGTACCATATGTTATGTTTGATTTTGACAGGACGTTAGGACAGGCGCCATATGTTATGTTTGATTTTGACAGGACGTTAGGACAGGCGCCATATGTTATGTTTGATTTTGACAGGACGTTAGGACAGGTGCCATATGTTATGTTTGATTTTGACAGGACGTGAGGACAGGTGCCATATCTAATGTTTGATTTTGACAGGACGTTAGGACAAGTACCATATGTTATGTTTGATTTTGACAGGACGTTAGGACAGGTTCTACATGTAATGTTTGATTTTGACAGGACGTGAGGTCGGGTGCCACATGTAATGTTTGATTTTGACAGGTCGTTAGGGCAGGTGCCACATGTAATGTTTGATTTTGACAGGACGTTAGGGCAGGTGCTACATGTAATGTTTGATTTTGACAGGACGTTAGGGCAGGTGCCACATGTAATGTTTGATTTTGACAGGTCGTTAAGACAGGTGCCATATGTTATGTTTGATTTTCACAGGACGTTAGGATAGGTGCCATATGTTATGTTTGATTTTGACAGGACGTGAGGACAGGTGCCCCATGTAATATTTGATTTTGACAGGACGTGAGGTCGGGTGCCAAATGTAATGTTTGATTTTGATAGGACGTTAGGACAGGTGCCAGTTGTAATGTTTGATTTTGACACGACATGAGTACAGGTGCCACATGTAATGTTTGATTATGACAGGACGTTAGGACAGGAGCCACATGTAATGTTTGATTTTGACAGGACGTTAGGAGAGGTGCCATATGTTATGTTTGATTTTGACCGGACGTTAGGACAGGTGCCATATGTTATGTTTGATTTGACAGGACGTTAGGACAGGTGCCATATGTTATGCTTGATTTTGACAGGACGTGAGGACATATCCCACATGTAATGTTTGATTTTGACAAGACGTGAGGACATATGCCATATGTTATGCTTGATTTTGACAGGACGTGAGGTCGGGTGTCACATGCTATGTTTGATTTTGACAGGACGTTATGACAGGTGCCATATGTTATGCTTGATTTTGACAGGACGTTAGGACAGGTGCCATATGTTATGCTTGATTTTGACAGGACGTGAGGTCGGGTGTCACATGTTATATTTGATTTTGACAGGACGTGAGGACGGATGCCTCATGTGATGCAGGTGCAGGAGAGTCTGAATGCCAAACTGGTTGGAACAGGCTGGAAGGAAATCAAGCAAAGAAAATATTATGTAAACTTAACCTCTTCAAAACTCAATATATCCGTATGTTCCTGTACAGCGGGATATATAGGAATGATTGGTGGTTATTCTGTTTATCTGACTCGAGTAAGTTAGTTTTAAATTGTTTCAAGAAAAGAGGTTTACCTAGTGTCTTTTTAATTTGGAAATTAACTAATGTGATTAAGATAAACAAGTTTACCAGCAATCACGGATTAGTGGGATCTTTTTCTCCCAAAACATTTCTATTCCATCTGGAAAAACACACGTTCCCATTGGAAAATACACTATGTCGTTTTCCGACGGGGGAAAATTGCCATGAACCTTGACGTCACAAAGGAAGAAAACGTCGCAAAGCATTGATACGTGACGTCATAATTTTTAAAAAAAACCAATGCAATGACGTTCAGGGTGTTAGCCACTAGTGGGTAACGGCTCATCCAATGGGTAGTGAGTGAGGGAGCCTATAGCGGTTGGGGGAAAATAACTATTTTTGTTCCTTTCTATTAGTGACTTATATCAAAATATGAATTATTGGTGTACGTTTATTAACATTTTATTCGAATTGCAAATGTAACTTTATGTTGAACAGCGTCACCCACTTGTTACCAATCCCAATATTGGATAGATTTTTAAAATTAGCTTTTTAAGTCAAGTAACTTGTGTTTGTATCAAGTTGACATTTTTGTGTGTGTGGCTATATATGCCTACTGCTTTCAAATATCGTTTTATAATTTTAGTTGCATCCAGAATGTACTTTATTGATTAAATATAAATGTAATCTTACGTTGTACTTCAATTATGGTAGCATACAGCAAACAAACCAACATACTGTAAGACGTCACAGATAGGGGTATGTAAAACTGAAACAGGTAAAACCGAACGTTGAAAAGAAACAAACAAATATAGATGATATCTTTTATAAATTTATTATAACAAGTTGTTCCAATGAACTAAAAAGGAAAACCTTACAACTGGACGTCAACATGACGATAAAGCAATAGTGAGTGTCACTTTGTGTCACAATAAATACTCAGAACTACCTCTAGCACTTCATGTAAAACATCACACATCTGGACTGGAGAATGGTAAATAAAGCAGCAATTTTACTAATGATAGCACTTTAGAAGAATAGGACGTGATTAGAACGAACAGAAACCATGGAAACAGTATACTTTCAACAGGATATGCTAATGGATGGAATTTCACGTTGTCCATTACAAAGAAACATATATATGTACGTATTGAAATGAAACATTAAGAAATCGTATGACTTCAAGTATTTAGGTTAAAAGCTTTTGTCTTTTCGTCTAGTCAATCACTGTCGTGGAATTTCACCTTCCTTAAACGTGCACTCATCACATTGCCGAGAGGCTAGCATTTTACACGAGAAATTGTGCAGAGCATCATGGGCCTCTGTAATAAAGAACAGATACTAATCAGTACCTAGATTGATAATGTTATATCTGTATTGATATTTTTTTTCTCCATTATTTAAACGAAAATACCAATGTTGTCAATCCTGCAAACATTCATACATATCTGATAACACACTTGGAAGATATTGTATACATTTGTCCTGCCAATGGTCAAAACCGCAAAATTCGCTTAAAATCACAAATTAAGTTAAATGGGTATCTTTGACTAATCATAGCACAAAAACGAGCACAAAGACATATAATTCGTTTTGCATTTTCTTCTATGTTATTAAAAAAAAAATCAAAAATACATTAATAATTAATATAATTAATATATATGGCTTTGGTCTCTCCTCGTAGTATACACATGGTGCATCAATTAGTTTACTCCAGTTTGTGTAAATTACTATACTGAATAAAAAGAGTTACGGAAACAGTCAATGCTAGCAATGACCTTGTCCCTTCTCTAGGTATGTTTTATTCTCAATGTGTCATAACGCAAATTATATTATGCTAATGGTAATTGCACATTCGTCAGACTTCGTTATTATATAGTATTACCTTTCAATTTCTGCTGTAAGGAAAAGCGCACCTGGCGTTCCTGCTCAAGCTCATTAGTAAGAGTATCTGGGGAAATAAAGTACATCCGATTAAACTGGTAAGCATAAATATAGGAAGAAAGTGATACCAAGATAAATTATATAACACAGTCAACCTTGAAGTCAATTCTCTAAAAGCCACCCCTTGTCTCTAGCTGCAGAATTCATTACTCACAATGCGCACTTATCTTCATAAAAATAACGTTTTCTTTAAAAGTTATTCGTGTAGTAAGATTGGTGTTTCTGTAAGGAAGAGGCTTGACCTACCTTTCACTATCTGTAGCTGCTGTGCTACCCCCTCTCTGTAACTGTGTTCTCTGTCTACCTCTCCTTTAAATGTTTCTGTAAATAAATTATTAGAAAATAGTGAAAATCAATCATTGAATTGGTGACACTTTATTCCATATGATTATCACCTTCAGTTGTCTGACACCGCTGTAAATACGTGTTTTACCTAAGTTTTTATGTCATTATCACCATCTTTATCCATCTTGTATAGCAGTTAATAGATAGGGTTCAGTTGTGACATGATAATTCATCGGGCTTTCCTAAAAAGACGACTTCTAATCTGTAGCGAGATCAATTTTATTTTATGGTCCAACACAAATATGCCATGTATATACACGGTTAATAGTTAGTTTATAAATGATAAATGACAGTAGAAGAGTTATCACTTTATCTAGCCCAACTTGCGTCCGAGTTACGCACGGCTTAACCCAAAACTTACTGTCGTGGGGATTACAGTAATATACATTTAAATAGTTCTGTGTGATGACATCAGTGGAGAGAATCAACGTGGACAAGAACAGATTGAAAAAAAAATATTATCTGATCTATTTGAAAAAAAATGATACTGCAATGGATTTGTGAAGTTATATAGTCATTATCGGGGTGTTTTTTTTCTTTACTTGATCTATTGCATATGTATATATATATTCACGTCTGTCGTGTCATTTTTAAATTAATCATGAACAAATAAAGTCAACAACAAATACCTTTCATTAACTCTATATCTTTTTCTATCTTTTTCCTTGTATCGATTTCTTTCCGTAGCTTCAGTTGCAATTCTTCTACAAAATATTTTTTCATAATTTTAATTAGAACAGAAATATGTATATATAATGATGTCTGATATTATATGGACATGTGCATCAGTAAAGTTTTTGTCTGTAAATAGTAATGATTAATTAACCTTTTCACATCTGTTAAGTAATTATCGATTTTTACAAATCAACATATGCAATTAACTTTTGATGGACATTTAAATTAATAAATTCATATAACAAGACATGTATAAAATATTGATATTGGGAAAACGTCTATGGTGATATTTATACATAATTAACATTCCCCATTGACAAAGACAAAGATAATGCAATTCGATGCACGTTAAATGACATTAATTTTCCGCCTTGACAATCGTCGTTAACAATACAAAGAGGAGCCGGATCTGGCGTATTCGTTTCGTGAATATTGAAATACAGGTACAATATTTTCACTCTGAGGGGACAAATCGATTTACCTTTAGAGAGATTGACATCGTCAGCTGCTGTCGTCTTCACTATATCATCGGTCTCGCCGTCTGTAAAATGAAATGTGTAATTCATAATCAAACATGAAAACAGACTATAAATCAAGTATCATTTACTGGTCAAATGAGCGCGTGATATACAACCGGAACGTACTTTCACGCTCCAGTGAACAAAGAATATTTGGGGAGAGTGTTGACAGTTCCTTTGATGTTAAAGGACATGTGTGATATGATAGATTGCTTTATGCTCCGTATTATAATGTTAAACATTATTTAAAAATATTACGCATAGATCATATGTGTCTTCGTTAGCATGACGAATATAGCGACCGTACGGTTACTAGTAATTACCTTGATGCTAATATATGATTAACAGGACTGATTGACCAAGACATAGAGAAATGATACAACGAAATGTGATCGTGATTGTATTTAGTAAACGTCTCGAATCAATACGAAAATGTGGACAGTTTAATGTCTAAATCGTTCCCTAAGCATCGGATGACCGTTTCACCCAGCCAGGTTATATTAGAGTTCGTGGTTATTGAATAATATATTGATAGATAAATGACCACAGCGGTGATTGTTCCCTTCAGTTCGTCATAAATAGGTCTTCTTCATTAATACATAATCATGGCGCATGATTAAATAGCGTTCGTAGACTAAATTAAGAGATGGGTTATTAGATTACTGATAGGCATCACAATTTAAAGTTCGCAGAATGTGGTCATCGATTGTAGCGGATGAGCCGAATCAAATATACAATAAGTTGATGATTTAAACAAAACTGAACTATATGGAGAAACTACACGTATTGTCATACCTCATTGTTGCAAATTTATTGATATTACAAGGTTAAGCCGAAAGGAACATGAATTCAAACCTAAATATTCATTAATTTTTTTGTCTCATAATTACTATTTACCTTAGAATATTTTTTTCAAATGGAAAAGAGAGGCCGAGTATTTTTAAGAAAATTATTTACCGTTACAGCCAATTTCTGTCTCTGATGCCGATTCGTCACGATTCTCGCAATACGGATTCAATGTCTTTGTTGTATTATCATCTGCAAACAATTGACGAATTCATTGTACGATATATTTGATGCAATTCTATCAAATTTGTGTTAATTTATTTTTATGACTAATCTATTTTAATTTCAATATTGACGATACCAAACAGAACTGTATTGAGATATGGATTAACAACGGTGATTTATTTGACTACTTTTCAAACTACAATTTACAAATAGTACATTTGGTTATATCTCATAATATTTTTTCATGTGATGAGAATTTGAAGACATGTGAATTTCGAAAACATAACTTACCTTCATTGGAGGTTTCTTGCTTTTCCTGGAATAAAATATAAATGTCATATTAGAAGCATTCGAAAGCTAATTTCTGAGTCTTGTAACTTAATCAATGAAATATCATATTGGATCGTTAAAGTATCTACCACCAAGTTATAATGCATTAACTAAAACGCCAAATACTGGACATGAAAAATAGCAAAGATGTCGACTTTTTTGTCACCAACATTAACAACACATAAACTTCATACCATCATGTCCTCCGTTGGTTCTTTGGTATCCGTACATTTCGGCGAGCACATCAGACGACAGTCTCTCTCACTGTACCCAGATCCGGCAGGGCTTGGAAAATTGTCATTTTTTTCGTCCTCACTGCTAGTTTCCTGGTGTAAAATAGCATCTGCCTCTTCTTTGTCGTCATCCCTACCCTCATCAGTGATATCAATTTCTCCTTCCGAATCCTCATCGTCCCTATCACTATTTCTAGCACTGTCAATTTGATCATCAGACTTTTTCACTAACCTGAAAGCAGAGAACCTCTCCCCGTCCGAATTGTTATATGAAGGACTGTGATCTGGAGAGGATAATTCATTGTCGTTGCCGTTCTCAAACATATCAACAGTGTCCTGATTGTGAGTTTCCTTAAAAGGATACATGGTCCCCCTGATACCATTGCGGTGATGGGCACCCATCTGCGTGTTCCACAACATGTTATAAGTTGGTAGAACACCATGGATACCCCATGATGCACTCTGTAAGGATGCAGCCTTCGTGCTGTCAATACTGCTTTCTTTATTGAATGGTAGACCCAGGCTAAAAGGAGGTGAATGGTTGAGTTGGCCAAACTGGTATGGTTTTCCCGGCAATGACAGAAGAGGGAAGGGAGAATAAGGGGACGGATACATTGGTTTGTTCACCACACATTCTCCAAGTCTTAGTCGACTTTTCTTCTCTGACGGTTCTGCCTTTGAGGGCAGGACGCGGCTCGTGCTTCCATGACTACTCGACATGATTCGCTTCCGGTTTCCACCATTAAACATAGCTTTAACATCCTCCCAGGCGCAGGTTGTGTCGTCCTTTTCAGATGCATCGCATAGCTTCAGATGACGTCTCCAGGAATTAAAGTTAGCGGCATCAGGATGACTATATTTAGATTCGGCCGTACGATGGAAATGAAATATGAACTTGTTCGGGGAAAAGTATGCATTACAAACGGTACACTTTATGCATTTTGCTCTTGAGCTGTTGTATCGTGATGGCTCAAACTGACCAGTGCAACCCCAACCACACTCATGCTTTACGTCAAAACGAAAATTGTCTGGTAACTTCGGGGGCGAATTGTCCTCTAAGAAGGATTTAACCAGCCGTTCGGCCTCTCTTAGTGTGATCATGCCACATCGTCGTGAAGATATTGGCATGGCCCCTGCCCTTCTTAGGATTTCCAGTTGCACGGGAGTACACTGAACACAAGTGATGCCCAACGCAACCCGCCTGTTGTGTATCTCATTGTAACTGTAATTCTTCAGAAGCGTGTTACTTATCTGCGCAAGACAAAGTCTTTCTTTTTGGTCAATGAAAAGGGAGACAATCGGGACACCCTGTAGAATAACACTGCCCACGTGATTTTGACGGACATATGTCCCGTTTGATAACCGCATATGTGTCCGTGCCATTACCTCGGGGAGGATGGAAGACATATCAATATGGTCCTTGTCCATTTTTGTATTGCTGATCATGTCGTCTGAATTTAGTGGTGATCCGTCTCTGCTAGATTCGTTCTGAAATACATAACAGTTAGAGATGCAATGTGCCTACACTACTGGGTGCTCCGGATCTCAAGTGAAAAAAATGCAAGACTGAATTTTAATTCACCCTTATTTCATTTGTGTGGGTCATGTTTAGACAGTAAACGAAATTAATATTTGATTTAACTAAACGTCATTTAAAGTACTATACTTGTAAATGTCTATGTAAAAATATTTTTTCTTATTTATAAACTGTATGTAACATGAAGTACATCCTTTCTGAGTGTGATAATAACGATCGTTATACCGAACGGTACTAACAATTGAATCACAAATGATTTAATTAGATTGAAGTTATGGTGTAAATAGTTTCGATACTAGCTTACATGTGATATGTATGAAATTAAGGAATGATATATGATCATGTTGACATGAAACATATGGTGATTATACGATAAAAGATAACGTTATGTACCAATACTTCTTTAGTTGGTTTTCCTTTTATATTATATTAATAATGGCTTTTAACGTGCAATATATATATTATCATTTCTATTTTTTAAATGTGGGAAACCATAAGGAATTCAAGTTTATAGTACAATGACCACATTCCCCTTCTGGTGACTGATTATCAAAGAGCAGCTTATTGAAGAATCGACATTTATACACATTTATTTATTTCCTTTCAGCTGTTTGTGGTTTTCATCCTTCAGACTAAATGTTAGATCACATCTTTTATGACATTGTATTGAATTTAAAATTATAATTCATATTGGTACCAAAGAACACTTATTGTGTGATAAGTTCAACAACATAGTCGACCTCATAGGCGACACGTTGGAGTCATATTATTTTTCGCATACTATAATTACTTCACATGTCTTCAAAGTGACATTATTGCGAAAAAGTAACAATAAAATATTCAACTATTAAATTGTCAGTTGATAAAATATAACGCAAATATGACAAATTAAATTGTCTAATATAAACGTTTGCAAAACCAAAAACTGGAACGAAGACAAAAGTGTTAAGGTATATTTTGAAAAGAGGCGTTTTTAAAACAATTATTTGGAATATACAACACGTAATTGTCAGTAGATAAATGTCCGACATAGGAAGTACGGGAACGCGATGTGTTACTAATAGAGGGAGCGTACGGATACGGAACTGTATTCTCGGTTAGTAGGGGAATGATTTGTTTGAATCTTTAATCGATATTTTACTGATATGAGTGCGCGCTATATGATCCTGCGGCGGTAAATGACTTCCGACAAATAACGGTAGAGTTGATGTTGAAATTGGAGATCTTTTGGATGGTATTAGATTTTATTAACAAAGAAAACGGTGATGACTAGTATGAATAAAGATTGATATTGCTTCCATATTAATAACAACGGACGCACACCTCTAATACTGCTGATTTATGATGATTTGAATACAATATTTGCGCGCGGTGTATTTAATGAAAAGGAAACCTGTGAATCTCCGACTGATTTTCTAAACTTAATCAACTCCATTTTCCAGACATATGGTCTAGTTCATCTTATAGGAGAAAGTCAAGCCTTTTCTGTCAGTATTAAGAAAGATAGACAATAACCAAAAGTTCATCAAACATTGTAATAGCATACCGCCATTTACCTGTGTCACGGTATGAAAGCATCGGTTAACTATCCATATGTCACAGCAACTACCAATTAACGTGTGCTTCTCTTCTTTAGCTCCCAAGAAACCTTCTTGTGTATCCTCAACAATATGTTCTCTGAGATGAGCTTAATCACTGAGAACGGCTGAGTCTCTATGAGGAATTTCAATTGGTATTGATACATGAAACGATTCTTGCGTGTCGCTAGATATTTGACGGTCAGTGGATATCTCGCACCGACAGTGTCATTTGTTGAATATTCTGCATACGTTATAATAGTAATGTCTTTCAAACGTCTCCGTTATCAGATAATCAAACTACGATTATTTATGTATGTATCGTGACTTTTCTGATGCAGATAGAGGATGATGTGGTAATTTTTCAATTTATTTGTCTTCAGAAAAAAATGCAACAGGTTAATTCAGACCAATAGTTAATTAACGGTTATGGCAGTTTTGCATGTAATATCAGATGCTCAAAAGCAATTTTCATCTACTGAATCTCAAAATAAATTGAAAGTTGTATCCTTTGACATCAAGTTTCATGGGAGTCATAAACAAAAACGACTCCTCTAATAATTGAGATAATTTTCTATAGAAAGTCGTACCTGGTTCACCGATGTATTCATATCGCGTCAAAAGACGACCGGCATGATATCATTATTGTGCAATTGCATTAAAAAAATATAATTAAATGTAAACTATAATAAAGCATACGGTGAAACAGAGTTTACAGATCAATGCATAAGACAATAAACCGATGATTGTTTTTAATAAACAGCGTGTTCAATGCGGGTGCAATATTACGGATGGACTGATGTTGCATTATCTCTTAAAAAAAACTTATAATAAAAAATGCATAACAGTAAAGCTTATGATCGCTTCACATACGCTCGCGCTGTTAACGTTCTCTATTGATCATACGTATCATAGGTTGCTTAGATACGTGGATACTTATTCGGATAGGTAATAGTCTGTGCTTTCTTTATCTAAATGTTATCCATTATTATTTCTGACCAAATAATTGCCTCAAGTCATTATGACAATTTTATACAGAATAACGATTTGCTAAAATAATCAAACGTCTTCTAGAGGAGCATAAATATTTTTAAAAATAAACGAATATATGTATTACTTTTTCCGGACACCGGTTGTAAGTTTTTAATATTTATATATGTATATTATTACTTATAAATGCATAGTAAAAAACATAACAACATTATTTCTAATGCACCGGATACACAGTTTTCACGCCTATTAAAAAGCAAACAAACAAACAATATAAACTTAAATAAACGCAGATTGCGATAATTAAAAACTTATCAACAGTGCAGATGGCCAAATAATTCAAGTTGAAAAAAATGTCATCATATATTCCTAACGAAAGCCATATTAATATTCCGATAAAGTAACTATTTATTGAAAATGAAACGTAATATGTGCACTAAATAGAAATATTTTTCTATGTGTCATATTGATTGCAAAACTATGTTAGCGATACATATTTAATAAAAGCATAACAAAGCACCATATAAATATAACAATTATGTTTGTAAAGCACTAAAAATCATAAAAGCATTAATTACTTGATAAATTAACGCAATGGATGTTCTATATAGTATGATATGGATCTGAAACCAATCCTCGTATGATAAGCATAACATTAAACACCATGTAAAGATATTGTACTAATATAGTAAGTTGTGTAGTACTACTGTAGGTTAACAATGCAGTATTTCAACAACAATTGAAATAATTTCCGGGAAACAAATCCAATATTAATGTATCGATCAAAGCTGTGTTCTAGTTAACCGATTTATTCTCACCATCAGTATCACAATACATATTGAAAATATGGTAAATTCCTAACTGCAGTAAACATATTGAAGAACAAAATTAATTTTAAATGATTGTCATTTTCATACAAATTCTGCAACGGTGCGAATACCAGGATGATTTATATTTAATTTCGATATTGTAACCATTACTTTAAAAAAAAAAACATGAAACAGATACAATGTTTGACAGTGAGGCTTTTTCCTGAATCTATAATTGATTTGTGATGACAATTTTTATACTTGATATGAAGAGTGACATTTAACACAACGCTTTCTGTGTTAGTAATTTATCACTTATAGTAAGACCGTAATGCTATGACATTATCATATTGACATGCTTGCATCTGTAGAATATTACGGGAGTATCTACATACAAAGGGACGAAATGATCATATGATTATATTGATATTTTTTATTAATTATGATGAAAATTGATGCATCGTTTCACTGTTAATAACTCCTTTTATATATGCTTAAACTGTACCTTATTAATTTATTAAAAAAAGACAATGAAAAAAATCCGTATTTTTAGCAAATTGCTTATTTGTTTTGTCGGTATGTTATTCAGGAATAATTTAATATAAAATGACAACTCTAATAATAACTTTACAATGAAAAGCTAAATACATGTATTAACAAAAGAATCAACCGTGTGTTTTACACATGTGACAACAACTTGTAATACAACGTACGGACTGTATTAACTGATAACAATTTGATGAAGCCTCTACACCTCTTTAATTTACTCTAACACAAAATAATTTTTATATTTAAGTTCAGGATCTGGTACATTCATCAATCATTATCAGACAAATAGTAGAATAATGTCCCTGCTTACATAACGATAGTACTTGTCTTGAGCGTGTGTTTTGCCGACCATCACGCGCATTTATAACTAAATGAAATACTGTCAAAATCAATCAAAAATGGTGAGGAACAAACCAGAGGAAATCCGAAACAGGATAGATCAATGTGATAGCTTATTGATACAGGACAATAAATATCAACAACTGTAATTGTTACTAACAATGATTATGACAATCAATACTAATATATGTGACAGCGTTATTACTTACCATGATTGTGACCATAATTCGAAAAAATGTATTCACAGAGTCAAGATCATGCCAGTCTTTCAAGTCTATAAATCTTTTGAAGATAAAGTTTCTTTTCTTTTCGGAATCTCAAATCAAACGTGGCATCTTCGGTAACGGTGATGAGAGAAGTCCACACCCAACACTTAACGGTGAAGCCCGGCACTGTATCTGATGCTGATCCTATCGTTAGCGTTGTGACAATGACGCTCCATTTAGCATAACTGTCACATATATGTGTTGACACCAAGGTACAATTAATGATGAACACTTTAATTCTGGCATATGGCAGACGCACAGCTCTGTTTATTTGGAGTCCTCTTTAGAAAATTATGCATTGTAATATTCAACGAGCAATGAAAAATTGTATGATTGTTGGAGGAAGCGAGGTGAGATGCGGCACGAGAGGCGTGTTAAAATTGATCCAAGATACAAGGAGCTATCTCATTGGTCTATTCACCGCGACAAATTGCTACTGTGAACCACTGATGCGCGACTACACTAGACTGACAGCAAACGCGGCCGCTCTGTCATCGTCCATACTGTATTCAGATCCCTATTGTAATTCAATTTGTATGTTGACATGATTGAAAATCAAAAGGTTTCAGTTTTACAGTTTAAACGTAAGTCAACTGCATTAAATAGCTCGACAGACAAACATACCTTGAATTCCATTCGGAATTTAAAACATTTTACAAGCAATCATTTTGTTAAATAACAATGCAAATCAATAAAGTTCTGCCTTTATTATGCACTGTCAGGTATACGATATCGAGGTGCTCACATTCATGGAAGTATTTTGCAGAGTAACTAAAGCAACTAAAAGCAACTAAAGCAACTAAAGCAAAAGCGATATTCGTTACGAATTCTGCATAAGACAGTTGTACTCAAATTAAAGTGTTGGCAGTAAACTTCAAGTCAAATACTTATTGAATAAAACAACTTTATAGTATTTACGAGATACAGTTGATCACTGTAAAGAGTTCATTCGTAGATATTAGAGATGTTTTAAATTATGTGTAGATGTAGGCTTATTCCGAGAAAATCAAATGACATTACACGATTGCCCATATCTTAAGAAGTTTAACAACGTTCTGGGTATTGCTGTGGTAAAATGACAATAAGAATGTCATACAGACATTTTAAAATATATTAATAGGAATTTGTATCAAATAACGTTTCTGGATGTTTTTTCAATGGACTTCTGAATGATATAATTTGTAACGTTATTCGTATCAAGAGAAAATGTAATACCATATATGTATCTAGTTAATGTGCTACTCTGTAGCAGTGTACTTTGTAGTGTTCACCTTGTTGTACATATACACATCAATACTAAACATTGTACGGTAAACCTCGCATGCTGTTAATAGAAAGAAACATATTTCTATATATGTCAATTTCATGTGTATTGCCAAGCATTCAATTCGTTATTGCTACAACAAACAGCGCCCTGTCGCCATGGTCTCGTCTCGAATGAAGAAAAAACAAACATTCCATGATAATTAAACTGACTGCTGGTTCTGACTGCTGTGGAATATCAATTGGGTTCACTGTAATCCTAGTCTGTTCAACATTGGTATCCGCAGAAAAGAGTAATTAATTATGCGGTAATTTTTCTTTTCGTTAACAAAACAATATCTAACACTAATAATATTTATATAGCAATTACTATGGGCGAAAATAATATATAAGATTGGTTTACCCCAAACCATAAATCATCAGCTGTTTTGCTATTGATGAATGTTTCACGAGATGTACGTCTGAATGCAGCATTATAATATACAGGAAACCACATTATCGATTGTTTATTGTAACATAACTTTGATATCTACAATGTACTGTACAAAGTACAATGCTGATCGCTTTCCTAGTCACGTTTATCGTTAAACTTGATAATACAATACACAAAACGAGTATTGGGCTACGGCATAGTAACATCATGATATTAATATAAAAGATTGATTTATAAATTCATCAAGCGTACAAATGTATTTAAGTTTTTAACTGCGTACCACTTCAGTTAAGGATGCATAGCATTTTATTTTTATTTCGTTCACCGGGTCATCTTTTAAGGCAAATGCACTGATCATACTTATAACATTAAGTAGCGAAATAAATGCTCTATGGAAATGTTAGTGCAATATGGTAACCTCAATATCCCATACATCTGTAAGTTTGTCTTTGTATGGTGAAGGGTATATATTTCATGATAATCGTGTATATAAGCAGATCGATCAGGAGCGAAATCACAGAGTTTTATGTATGTATTTGCCAAAAGTTGGGTTATACATGCAGATAATCAGCATTTCTCTTTTCTATCATAAATACGCATAACAGTTTTGTTAAGGAAATGGCGCGATCTATAAATGAGCTGAAAACTCTCATAAAAACAACAATTTCAGTTTAATTCTGCCATTTGCTAGAATTCATGAATAATTTGTCTGTTTTCAAAGACACATTTTCATGTTCACTTTTTGGTTTCCAGTAATTATTCCCTTTCAAGACAATTTTTCCTGTATTTCTTTCTTTGGCGGGAAAATAAGTTTTGCATATTTTATGATTTTTAATGGTAGAATTCTACAAAGTAATTCATTGTCATGACACGCTTACCAATATGTTCTGTTAACATGAGGCACTCGAATACTGGCTGCTGCAGATAAATGGAAATCACACACGCGTAACGCGCTCGCTTTTTTACCTGTACACCTCACCCGCCTTTGACTAGCCGCTCAAACCAAATATTCCACACCTGTTAAACCAGTTATAATTATTTATCTTCGTGAGCAATCGGTTTTGTTTACCGTTTTAGGCCGGATGAGCGGGAATGCTCATCGCGAAACCCTGCATTATACTATCATTATAATTTTAAACAGTTATATATACATTTTGTATATGAAATTTAAATCGATACATTCAATGAGATTAACAGTTGTTTTAACACAGAATACATATTAATTAAAATGCAATGTTTTAATTAAATGAGATTTTTTAAAGGGAGGTTAATGTTTTTGGCATAAAGGCATGCCTCAATGTTGCCTTTATTTTCATATATTTTTCAAAGTTGTAAATAATTCTCATATGTCTTAATATGAATAGTATCAGTTGAAAGCCAATCTTAATTACGAAATGTGTGGGTGTTTTGTTGGTGTAATAACACAGTCGACACACAATTACAAAAACAAAACGCTACACAAAAACTAAAGGAAAAGATGAAAACACCAGGAATTGTCCTAATTCACAGAACAAAATGAGTATAATCTTTTGATTTGACCTTCGACACAGATTTTTAGACTCAAAATGAATATATACTCAAAGATAACGTAGTTCCCATTAAGTATGCGTCTGTAGGACACTACATGTAAGTTCAATAGAATAGATACATGGATATATCATGAATGCGAGAGTTTCAATTTTCATCATGTCCGACACATTAATTTGATTAATCAACATTTGTAATAAAACTATTGTTCGTAATATTTATAACAAAGGACAAAAGTACTCATTTGATCAAAGGCAAGACATTTCTATTTTCTGAGACCCCAATGATTCCATCTATATTTTACATGATGAGGAAATATTATTGATATATTAAGCTGCCTATGAACTTTGATTCCACAATTATCAAACTATGTTCAATTAGTAATATTATGGAAAATTATTAAAGGAAAAAATCATTTATAAATGCCAAAGAATTTCTTTGATAGATGACTAATTCTCGTTCCGAGACTAAATCTAAGGATGCGTATTTGGACTGACAATACTTGTGCCCTTACACAACACACCCACTGAACCCTGCCTAAATCGAGGATTGTTATTCGTGTCCATTTGCACCGATATATCAATCAAGATGATGGTGTTCTGGCTTTAATCGTCTTTTCTTAAATAACCAATATGTTTTAATTGCTGTTGTTATTGTTACCGCGAAACCTTCACAGAATCTTTCCCTATCATCAGTTATACCCTGACGCTAAGAGGATTTTCTTCGCTGAATAGCTGCACAGGTAAACCTGTATAAGTGGGTCAAAAGCCGGTTTTGTTGGAAAACCTGTTTCCATTCAGTCAAGCTTTTAACGATATGTCGATGGGACATAATGTATTAAATTTGTCTATTCTTAATAAAGAGAATGTCTTTACAAAAGTAGCTCAGGCGCAATGACAGCCAGATTAGACATATGACAGTTGAATTAATCAAGAAAGGGAAATTCTGTTTTCCGGAACACGGGTGAATTGAAGCAGGATTTTCCATCTGGCCTGCTATTGGTTATTTTGCGGTATTTTGTTCTAACCCCACTTGGGTGGAAGTCTTCTAAATGTCACCGGCTATATCCAGAAAAGACAGCCGTAATCTGTGTATTTTCTATATGAATTAGCCATCATTAGACGAATATTGCAGGATATTACGTTTTGTCTGGCACACAACAATAGATCCTAGGTCGCTTTATATTGGTTTCACCTTAGCATATTTCACTTCCGTGTAAAAACCTGTCTATTGAAGTAGCCAACACTGTGATATTATTTATTAAAATATTAAAATTTATGTTAGATTTCAATAAAGGTAAAAATAGAAAAAAAATATGGAAAGAAAGAAAAACGAAATATTTTCTTGATTTAGAAATATTTGTTATGGATTCAGGTCATAAAATAATGTTTAACTTTAATTCAAACAATATCACGAAGATGTCACTAAATACCGTCACAAGCATTACTTTTACTTTTCTCTGCCTAATGCCATTCATAATAAGATTAAAACACAAAATAATGTGGGGAAAAAAACTAAAATATATGATACATTATTTGTGTTGTATATTTTAATCTGTGTTTTGAATTACTAAATTGAAGACACATCAGTGAATTATCTGAGCTCATATACCGGTTCCTTTCACAGACAATAGCGATTTACATGATCCTTATATGGTCATGGTTCCCTGAAAAGCAATGTTCGTTTTTACAGTGATACTTTGTTTTTGTTTTTAGTCACATTTCCTTTGATGATCAACTGTGTGAGCATTATGGATACATATCTATGAGTGCTGAGAGTAGATTATATGTCATCGAATTAAAGTACATGTCAATTAGAAGATTTCAAAATCACTTCTCCTCTTGTTAGTAACGCTGTGTAATAATGGATACTTTCCGCATTTTCCAATTATTGTTTGACAAATCCAGATAAAATTGATAATGTTATAATACCTTAAGGATTCGCGTGCGAGCATACAGTTTTTATTATGTTTAATAACAGAAATCCGATCCGTGTTTCACATCATTATACACCATCTTGCCTCTAGCTACATGTTTGTTCGGGTGTTCCGCTCCACAGTACAACATGA